ATATTTGACTTCGACTTTGATCAGGATCAAATTTAGAGTAAATCCAATTTTTCGTGCCGTGTACCGTCAATCAAATGTTCGGCGGCTCCTCCCAGCTTCCGACTACTGCCGAGCGCGCGGTGATCAAATCGTTGAGTACAGTTCAGACAACGAAACAGTGCTCGGCAGTAGTCGGAAGCTGGGAGCACCCGCCGAACATTTGATTGACGGTAGCGAAAAACGCATTTGTCGGTTGAGCTTTGAATTTTAGAGTCCGCATGTTATTGAAAGGCGCAGTAACGAATCTTTGCCTAAAACAGACTCTCTTGCACATTCTTGCCTTAATGTCAAAGTTACGTGAGGATAAGAAGGAAATATTCTACCCTACTATTATTAGACTGCGCTAAGCGTTAAATAACTTCGGTATAGTGTTTTCTTATCTGTTTAAATACAGGGATTTTTCGTCTCATCCTGCATGAACGAACGTAAACTATAAAATTAAAGCGTTTCTGCACGTCTTGGACTTCTCTTTTTCTCATTTTTCCAGTTAAACAGAGAATTGCCAAATTTCTGTTTCTTTTTCTCGATTTGTGGGTGGGTGTTCTTTCTTTTTTCTTTCTCCTGTCGTATGTATTTCTTGTGTAGTGCGACCTTGCGAAAAACCACGTTTAGAGCTTCCTGGACATTATCATAATTTTCAGCAGCAGAAACTTCAAAGAACATGCACCCAAGCTGCTCGGCAGCTGACTGGCCCTCCTTTGTGGTCACTACAAAGACGAAAAGAGATTGCGATTAATGTTTGTTAAAAGTTTGAGGGAAGAGGCTCAGCCTCGGACTGTATTAGAGATGCCACCTGAATAACCGAAGATTTATCTGAAAGCAGGTCAATCAATGAAACCCGTTCGTAGTTTATTTGAAGTCTTGTGTTTAAGTCCAACTTTTTGTCTGTTCGAAGACCAGTTTCAAAGATCACGGAAAAGGAATGACAAACTGTGTCCCTCTGGAAATTGTACCGACAAGAATTATATTAAGGGAAAGGGAAAGTGCCAGCCGAGTAAAGAATGTTTTTCTAACGGAAGAATATAATGAAATCACGACTTTGTAATTCAATACAATCTTCTGCACCATTACTTTACGAGTTTACAGTACGTTTTGTACCTAACTTATATTCATGTTTTTTTTCGGACTGTATAAAGGGTAATTTTGTTCACTGCCGTCCTGTCTTGCTCCTTCCAGGCTTTCCGAGTCTTATACATTTCTTTCTGTCAGTAAATTTCTTTTCTCTAACCGTGCCAAATCCAAGCAAAAGAGTTACTGTATTTGTTCTTGTGTGAATGTTTCGTGATTTTCAAGCCAGGCTTCTGGACTCGGCTGACTTCACTTCCTTTCAAGCCATTATTTAGACTGGATTTTTCGTGATCATTGTTTACGATGATATCTGCTTTCTTACCTTTTCTAAAGTGCTCCAGATCTGTCTTGTTTCCCACAAGAGCAACATGCAACTCATCGGTGCCTTTGCCGTCGTAAATGGTCTCAACCAGTTGTATAGCGTTGTTGAAGCTGTTTTTATCCGTAATGGAATATACAACAAGGAATGCGTCTGCCCAGCGGATGTCCTTGTCGACTTGCGATGTATCACTCTGAAATTACAACACACTGATTATCAGTTGAAACTGAAATGACGAGAAAGAGAGGCAATAGTGAAATGTTTTATCACGCGAGCGGTTATATCTAACGTGACTTGCTACCGAATAATAGTGGCAAAATATAAACTGTAACAATATAAAACGTTTTTTGTTAGTTCATTCTTAATGTCTGTACCTGTTTTCCTTTAATATTCCCTGGAGCTATTTTTGCCTCACTTTTATCTCACTTCGCAATACTTAATACCTTTGCGTGGTGCTGATGTTTGTTCCATAAGGAAATAAACTTTGCTCGATCACGCTACTTTAATAAGAGCTTCTTTCAATGATGTTAATTTTCTTTGACATAATTGACTCACGACCTAGATTATTTCTTAGAACCCTGGCTAGAACCCCAACTGAGGTATATTAACCAAGTCAAGATAATGGCGCATGATAATGTTGATGAAAACCCGTGGAACATAAAAAGTACTGATACGATGTTTATTGACTCGTTGATTCAGTGATTACGGCACTAAAGGACCCACTCGTTGGTGTTGAGATACATCACAGCTAAATTTAGATATGACCAGTGTCAGTCTTTAAACACCTTGATTTATTTTAACCCGTATAAAATAAGTGAATTTTACTCCATTACACAGGCTTGTCCAATAATGATAGTTAAAGCAAATTATCTATGAAATAGATTTAGTAAGATTTAAAATATTTTGCGTAACAACTAGTTTTCGAGGCATTTTTACACATCACACCTATGCTTCACAATAAATGTTTAATATCATATTTTTGTTTTTCTCAAAGCCCTTTTGTATTATAAGGTATATATATCAGTACGCGAGAGGAAGAATCTCAGAAATCAGCATTGCCAAAGTTTTTTAACTGTTATTTATTGCGCTGGCTGTATAGGATGATGTCGAAAAGACGTTAAAAATCGAAATCGTGATAATAATTATTCACAGTCAAAACCAGTCAAAACTCATTAATTTGCATATTTGAAAAGACAAATTCGCCTCGGTTGACTTCTTTTTTATTGTCATTTTTCCTTTCGTGACTTGACGCTAGTTGTTTTGTATTTCAATCACAACGATTATCCTTTGTCTTCAGGTGTGCTTTTCGATCTGTTTCAAATTTATATGAAACATGAATTTTCAAAATTTTCATTTTAACTGGTAAGCCAGCTGAAAGCAAGGCTTGTTTCCATATAAGGAGAATAGCACCTGCAACGTGTCGCTGGGAAGACGGTAATGTTTTGAAATGGTTTTCTTGACACACTGGCTGTGATATATACTTTTGAACGGTCTTCTAAAAAGCGCGTGCTTTTCCCGATTTAGAGAGGTAATATTTCTGATATTTCAGCGACAAATGTGAAGTATTGCGGTAGGTAAATTAATACAAGCCTGTTATTTAAAACGAAAGCTCTCGCCGCAATCGTGTATTTTAAGAACAAAGATAAAAAAGAAAATCAGTAGACGAAATAATGGATTTGAACGACAGAAACATTGATCTCGGTGAAGCAACCTACCAAGGAAATCTCTACAGGAAAATGGATGAATTTCGTCGACAAGGAATATTATGCGACACAATTCTCCACGTGGATGGACGAGAATTTCCAGCGCATAAAAACATCTTGGCTGCAAGCAGTGCGTATTTTCTTGGTTTGTTTACATCGGACATGAAAGAACGGCATCAAAGTGAGGTGAAACTCGAAGATTTTAAATCGTTTGTGATGAACGACTTGCTCAATTATATCTATACGGGCGAAGTTGAAATCACCGATAAGAACGTTAAAGAGCTTGTTTTCGCTGGTGATTACCTGCTAATCGAAAACCTGAAGGACAAAGGCAGCATGTACTTGGAGAAAACTCTCAGTCCTTCAAATTGTCTGTCTGTGAGAGAGTTCTCTGAAAAGTATGATTGTGAAGAACTCTTGGACAAGTCAGAAAGCTTTATTCTAGAAAACTTCGTGGCTGTTTCCAAGTCCGAGGAATTCCTTCGTCTGGGGGTCTCCCAGATCGAGAAGCTTATTTCCCTCGATGATGTCATTGTGGAAAGCGAAGAACAGGTGTACGAAGCGGTTATTTCGTGGGTCAAACATGACGTGGATAATAGAAAAAACGACTTCCCTCTGTTGCTTTCCAAAGTGCGCTTAGGCTGCATGTCAAAGTATTATATTGCCGGATATGTAGAAACGGAGGAGCTTGTCACAGATAACCTTGAATGCACGAAGCTGCTCTATGAAGCTATGAAGTCATATGCCTTATTTGGACCACAGGGCCACCAAGACAGTGACATATGCAAGTTACGGAGATGTTTGGACTCTAATGTAGATGCCATCGTCACGATCTGGGGACCTGGGGATGAACTGCGTTCTTCGACTCAGTGTTACGTGCCATCTGTCAATCAGTGGTACAATTTGGCGCCAATGTTGATCCCGCGCTTCAGTCACGGAGCTGTGGCGTGTGAAGGCTTCATTTACACAGTTGGCGGAGTGTCTCTCAATGGACATCTTTCAAGTATGGAGAGATATGACTACAGGTTAGTTGATTCCTTGCTTACTGAGTACAAGGACCCTAGTTATAAGAGTGTGCTCAAACTCAAAACATTTTCAACAATGTTTTCTCTCATTCTTTTAAAGTTGAAACGTAACAAAGAATGTCCTTTTCCTGGTTGGTACATAAGGGACGGTAAACATCATTCAACTGGACAGACCAATTTGTTTCTTCCTTTGGTTGGTCCTGTCGGAGCACATGATTTGCGATACTATCTTTGAATAGAGAAAAATGAAAATGATATGCCCCAAAAACTACTGTATAGGAAAGTAAGGTAGCCAACACATCAACGTACCAGATGAACAGTAAACATGTCTCTACGGTTATTTCCACAGGACGAACACGTGGGCTGGTGTAGCGCCCATGGCTAAAGAAATCTCTGCTCTTGGCGTGGCGGAACTTAATGGTTCTTTATATGCAGTGGGTGGCTGGCACAGAGGACGACCGCTGAATACCGTATTGAAGTAAGTTAAAGGACATTTGACNTTAAGACTTTACTTTAGACTTGACTTTAGAGTGATACATCCAAATCTTGTTACCGACAAGAGAGAAGTGATGGCTGTGACCTAAGCCCTAATGACCTAAGCCCTTATATAAGTGCAGGGTTTAACGGTGTAATTCAGCAAGAAACAACTACTGCTTTGGCTTTCAGATTTCTTGTTAACCCATATGTTTGGCTTTGTGTTGACATCGTGAGGAGAAATTCGTTTTTTATGCATGTTAGGACTGAACGCATTAGAAGATTGCCTAAACTTTGCTAGTTTTGTTTTGCTGCCTAGATACTATCCGTCCACAAACATTTGGGAAGCGGTCACTCCCATGACATCAAATCGAGGTGGACCGTGTGTCGTGTCTGACAAATATCTGTACGCTATTGGCGGGAAGACAGAAAACGACAATGCAAACGACCCGTTCAAGTACCTGAACACGGTTGAAAAGTACGACCCCAGGACAAATACGTGGACAGAGGCCACGCCCATGCAGGCCCGACGAGCGTACGCATGCGGGGTAGCCCTTGAAGGAAGCCTTTACGTCGTTGGTGGAACGCAGGATGATCTGTACTCATCACACAGCTCTTGTGAGGCGTTTAACATACAAAGCAATACTTGGACATACATAGCTAGCTTGTGCATATCGAGAGCACTAGCAGGCGTTGCTTACGTCGGAAATCGTATCTACGTCCTCGGAGGGAAGAAAAATTCCCGAGAAAGAACGGACAAGGTCGAGTTTTATGATAAAGAACTCGATGTGTGGAAAGTCGTGGGATCAGTACCTAACTGCATGGGTGGAATCCAGTGCTCCTCTGTTTCACTTTCTAAGGCGTTTCTCAATACTTTGACAAAGATTACTTAAATTCTTTAGTCTAAATCTGACTGATAGCTCTCTATAGGCTTTTATTTAGATATGATATAATTTTTCTTAGATATGCGCCTACTGTTTTGTATCCTCTTCGAATTATAAGCCCGACATGTTCTAAAACGCTCTATGCTTTCTGACAAATAACAATATAATACTGAAGTAATGTTTACAAAGATCTCTCAAAGGCCAGAAAAAAGTTTTAATTTTTTTCTAGGTGAACCTGAAAAACATTTTCATCAGTTTCTATTTCGAAAACATGCATGATATTTAAGAGATAAAAAGCATACGTTTATTCAAAAACTGTTCTGTAAGATGGTAGAAAAAAGATGCAGAATTAGATAGAATTGGCATAAAAATTAGATGCTTTTAAAGTTAAAAGTGATAGACATAAAATTTTATCTACGTGTATTTGATGTAGAAAAAGAAATAAGAAGATGAATTTTTGAAACCCAAAGTCGCTTACAACCCAGAACATACAAAGATTATTGCAGTGCCGTACAATGTTTAAATGCCATTTAATAAACAGCTTGAATTTGATATATAAAACTAGGTCGTGCCAGTTTGAAAATTCATCCACGCATGATTGACAGTCAAAGTAAACAAATACTCACACCAACACTTAAAGACGAGTAGAAGTTAGGTTAATAAGTGACTCTTACCTTTTCGATTGCGTCACGCAGTTCGAATGTAAGATACTCGTCGTCAAGCTTTATTTTGTGACTGTATGTCAGTTCTGAAATAGACAACATTGAAACAAGTGTTTAGAGATACGAGAAGAATGTCAACAATTTAGAACACGTATTGAACTCACAGCGTGAAATTAAATTTTTACAAAAGCTTCTTGATGGTTATGTAAGATACGGCTTGTTTGTTGAGGGAAATAAATAATTGTGCGTTTGATCGTGATGTAGATTTGTGGTTTATTAAAACCCAACGGAGTAATGTCAAGAACAAGAAATTCTGCCTGTCTATAGAGCATTGAGAAGTAAACAAGCAACTGAGAAAACCAATTAAATCATAGTTAATTAACTATGATAAAACTGCCTTAGCATTGCCTGAGAGCTTGATACAACAGCAGTTCAAAGCATTCTCTTTAAACACTGCTCAGTTAATCTACTTTAACAGCTTATTAAATGTTCATTACAAATTTAATAATCAGGAAATGAGCAATTACCGAGATAAACCTTTGCCATTTCTGATGGTTTCTTCATTAACATTAAATTCTTCATAAATTGAAATGTTAATTTTTTAATTATTGAGGTCATTCAGGTCCTTCATATTTCTTGGAATGTAGCTACACTGGTTCAAAAACTCTATTGCAGATCCTAGAACGTGTAATATCCTGCGATGTTTGACCATACACATAGGTAGTATCTGAATTAAATTTTGCTAGGTTTTTGACTTAAAGTTAAGTGGCTTCAGACCTTCGGACCCTATTGCCCAAGTACCGTACTCGTAGACACCACTTCATTTAACTGAAACCTGGGCAAATTATGAAATGCAACTTTAGCGGTCAGAAAATTTGGGAATAAGTCTTGATTGGGACAGCAGTGAGCTCAATGGATGAAACAGTGTAACAAAGGTTACGATTTATCATTGCTATCTGCCATTACTCATTATGTGAATATGGCGAAAGAACTTGAACAATATTCAAAATAAATGAATAGGACTCAGATAGTTGAACTGATATACTTACGCATTATTGATTGATACTCGCCAATGAACCTCTTCGTCAGGAAACGGACAGTTAAAGCTAGTAATAACGAGAAAATAAAAGCCCATGATATAGCAAGTAACAACAACAAAAAAAATACTCTGTTGTTCACATATCCCACATTATGTCACTCTGCTTTTTTGCCCTCTCCCTACCATCAGGGAACGTAACACAGGGTGTTTTGGAAAGAGCCACGTCACGGTTTGCAATCCTTGAGAAGTTTAGCTTAAAATTTTCAAGTTCGTCGTTTGCAGTCCGTGTTAATCTTCTCCATACTTAACCATCCTTGTTCCTTCAAGGTCTAGTGTTGTCTCTTTGGTGTTTTTCTATCTTAGTATACTATTTTTTCAGGTTTCCTGCAACTTAAAGGTGGTTTTGCACATGGCCAAAATAACAGCAAAATTAGATGTCACTAAGGCTACTGCTGGGGCGTATGAATGCGACCTTTGCGTAATACTTGGTATACATGCATGTGTTATCAATTATGAGTTTTTTACGCGACTGATAAATTACTTCGGCTTACGTAAAGTTTTCGCAAATGGCCTAGGTTAGTTAATGACCCCGATTGTTTATTTTCTTCTCTGACGAAATAAAAATCATCTGAGAAGTGTTTGGCATAATCACTTTTCATCAACATGCCATCAGGCTATCCTTTCTTGAGAGAAGTTTATTTTCTGAGAGAAGTTCCACCCGCCCTCTCGTTGAGAAAGGAACTGTTGTGAGAATGGTCTCCCTAAACAAAGATCAGCTTGACATCATTACAGTTGCTCGATACACGTACACCGTTATTCCATTATGATGGTTTCGTCGCTTGATTATTTTATTTCCCTGTGAGCAATTAACAATTACTCCGTGAGCCCAAGTTGGATACGAGGTCATAAACAACAACCCAGGTGCGTAGCGCCGAGTTTCCTATAATCGACTTGCCTCCAACAAGTCCAATGAAATAATTGTTTTACCACTGAAATCAGTCGCTTTTCTTGTACATTTATGAGCCTTTTCGGTTGAATGTTTCAAATCAAACTCTGACTTTTTTTTAGTTTCCGGGGAGGCGTTGCCTATTTTCTCCCTATTTTGCGGTAGAAAGCTTGCCAAATATGCTGTTTTCAGCCATTTTTTTCGGGAGAAACAAAAATGTTAAACTAAGCAACTTACCGCACTTATTTTCCATTTATGGTCAAACACAGGGAATTTGGCTGGTAACCGAGATTCGGTGAACCAATCAGAAATGCATTGTCCGGAGTTTTTAGTAATAATACCTGATAATAGCGTTATTTATTTGCTTGTGATTAATTACAGTATACTACATAAGCTTTCTATTTTGAGTATTGCTGTGAAAATGATGACGAAATTGCCAAAATGGATATCACCTTTTTTATTCAAGAAAGACGGCTTTTAGAAATTGCATCATTGTATTAAATAAAATAAGCGTCATTGAAAGACATCAGTGGCAATACCATCATGAAACAGAATATTCAAAGCACTTAAATTATATATCACTGAACAGACGGTAGTTGCTAATGGAAATGTTTGCTGAATCGGCTATACAAATCGATAGTTGATTTGATGAAGATGAGTACTTTGGCCATCACCAATGAGTTAAAATTCGTCCTTTATTTGTTGCGATCGATTGACATGATCTTTCAAGAATCAATGCAAATTCCCGCAAAACGAGAAGCATGTTGTTAGATTGTTGTATAAATGGTCGTTTAGTTAGTTTGTTTTTTTTTGTAAGTACTTAATTAAGTTAGCGGACTATAAAAAATAGAGACAGCTTTTCACAGAAGTTGAAAGTTAGTTCCCAAAAAAAGAACAATCGGATTTAAACGGGACAGGGTTGAAAATTAACTCAATTACAAGCATTGACTAAACGTATCAAGTAAAACGGGACGCAATATGCGTGGCGCGTGGGGCATTATCGTTATCAATGGGTTTCCCGATTGTCCTGAGGGTCTCAATACAAACAGATTAAATCAATACAACCTTGTTAGTTGTTCCTGTACTGTTTTGTTAACAAATACTATACGTTTTAAAACAGAGAGACTTGAAAGCATTGCCAATTCACATTAGCTAACAATTGCCCCTAAGGACTGAGGTAAACTGACCTCAGCTGTCACGCGTCTGAAATGATACATCCTTCTGCGTATAAGTAGAAACTAATTTACACTTTGCTGTGAATCGTTTCACGGCAGTAAATATCAGGACACCCACAATGAAAGGAACTGGGCACACTTAGGAGTTCAAGGACTGTCAGCTAATTAACTTAGCAAATCCTTCACTGTAATACAAAATGAAGCGACGGGTATACTCAGTTAAGAATCGTGAGTTACAGAACTCCAAGTTGCGATAATTGGATTTTGCATGACCAGTTGAGCTATACGCTGATACACAATAGCTTTAGCAGGATTTACAGTACTTCAAATTCACGTAGACAACAAGACAATCCTTTCCCTCTTAGCTCGTACGACTGCGAAGAAATGATATCTTTGGGTGCAAATATACGCTGTCTTGGACTGCCGAGTTCAACCCTGTTAAGCCCATGTTCGTTAAAACATTCCTTTATCAGGAGCATTTTCAATTAATTCAGAAGATGGTACCTGACTTGCCGACACCTTTGCTTCCAAGAGCCAAGAATCTCGCTTCAGGAGGCACCAGAGAATTCATTTGTCTTTCTGTTTCATATCTGACAGTGAACGTAACTTTCGATACTTGTTTTGGTAGTCAGCAATCTCTCACATTCCTCTGAAAAGCTCACGCTATGTTTCATGCCCGGCAGCTACACATTGAAAGCATTTTTGACAAGCTTATTGTTAGAAATAATACATCTTTGTCATTATTAATATGCTCCAGGGCTGGCCTGATTGCGGGGGTTCGTTGAAATGCAGTATTTGTTAACAATCGTGTTGAAACAGGTTGCAAGGGAAGTAAATTCTTTGCTACCGATTTGTACAACATCAAGATGCAATCTATCCGAGTCGTCAACAGACCTTAACAACGCGCACTTCTATGATTTCGTCGATTTTTAACGAATTTTCGTGACAAAAGCGTTCTCAAAAGATAACATCTTAATTGCCAATGATTGCCGGCGATTTAGTGGAATTTGCTATTTATCGAAAAAGATAACAGCAGCACCGCTTTGGGCAAAAACAAGCATCGAAACCACTTGTTTGAATAGAAAACAAATCGCAAGTTACGTCATAATGACGTGAACATCACACATGTATTGCTGACCGTAATCAGATTGGACAGACGCTTATAGTGACGTTTTATGCTGAGTAAACAAATGACCAACAAGAAAATTTTATTATCCGTGATCGTCATTATAAATTTTCCTTAAGAAAAAAATTAAGTTCGTTTAATCAACATGTTATCATTTCATATTTCTCAAACGTAATTACTGAGGCCTTCTGCTTCTACTGGAGTGCCGGCGAGACAATGTGATTAAGCGAAATTCCAACACTTTTTCCACCCAACAGTCACCAGTTTTTTTTGGTTTACGTGGCATATAATGCGACCTTGAGGTTTCCATCATGGGGGAAAAAGATAAAGCGCTTTTAGTTAACATAATATCATTTAATAATCCTACGCACTAACCGTCGCGAAGAGAGATAATGTACTTAGGCGGCATCCCAACAGTTGTTTCGTGCAAAGTCTCCATTTTAATATTTTTCTTGGCTTATGATGCGAACTTTAGGTCCCGCGTTGTAGAACGATTGAATCTTTTGGCTCATCACAATGTGTTTAATTTTATCGTTACATAAGCTAAATGACATTTCTATTACGATACAGCATTATAGAGGAACAGAATGAATACATGAAAGAGCAAATACTGGTAGTGCTGCTGGCATCTGAAAATGAATGTTATTTCTGTCATCTATCATGAGTATCATGAGGTGTAACCATCATTCAGCTCCCGTAGCACAGTCGGTTAGAGCGTCGTACTTATAAGCAGTGCTGGCGTGAACCGCCGAGGGTGCTGAAGTAATGCGAAGGTCGGGGGTTCGAGCCCCCCCGGGAGCACTGGTTTTCCTTTTCAACTAATCTTGAAAGAAAAGTCTTCTTTTAATTTAATGATCATGCTGCAGTTGGCTGAGAAGTAACCAGTTACGCTCAACAGATATGATACTCAATTTCAGATCAGCTTTTGGCCTTTTATCAGTTATTATTAAAGTGCACCTAACCCCAAAATTTTTTTTTCGCTAAAACGAATCTAGACTTTTTTTGAAGCATTTGGGCGAAGAAATTTTTGAATTTGGTTGAATCCTCGATTTTCTATGCCCTTTCAAAGTCGCGCTTGAAGTGTTTCACGACTGCGTTTTAGGGAGTCTGGGGCGGCGGTTCCTGATGATGTCTACCCAGGAACCAAACACAATGGCGCCTCAGTCAGCTCTCTGTATTTGCTGGAGAAAATGGAAAACAAAACTAATCGTTCC